TTGATCGAAGAGACTCACGAGGGGAAAGGGATGCCGGGTCAGTGTCTGTGGGGGGAGGAATATGTAAATTTGGGGGTCCAAGGAGTGTACTAAGAATATAAAATTTCGCAACTGTTTTTTTTTTCAAGTTGTCATCCATCCAAGTGCCCATCATATTTACTGCTGTAGGAAATCGAACCCAGATTCCTCTGCTCTCCAGCCCAAAGCAAAGGCCTCATACCTATAGTTGATAGGAAAGCGTCTTTATTACATCTTGGAACCGATCGATTGTATGAAGACCATTGAATCGTATAGCTACCCTCATCCCTGTAGAATGCACTGTTAGACCAGTAAACTCGTGTTACACAAGTATATTCCTCCCTCACCCTGAATCTAACACAGCCTCCCAGTTTTCTTTCCCCAAGTTCTGAAGCTCTGTGCCTTCGCAATAGATTTCCGCTATTTCGTGTCCGGAAACAGCCCATTTATTACTATATTTTTCCTCTTCTTTCCAGTAAATCAGATCTTATATATACAAAAAACAATTTGGCATAGTGACAGTAGAAAAATATTCATGTTATACTTGCACAATATTTGCCATCTTGGATTTATATTACACTTTAGTGAAGTTGTGTACATGAGATGTCTTCTGACGTGTGACTTCCGCTGCTGTGTGTCTGTGTGTTAACTTCTACTTTTTTTTTAAGAAAATATTTCTCTTGGCTTATTGCACTGTTATGGGGTAAAAGTTTTGCTTTCTTTACAGTCTACATATTCTTGACAATGATGTTATGCCTCGTTTAACGCATTTTAGACATCATTTGCTGCTTTATGTTTTCTGTTTTCAAGGGAGAATAGAGAAGAGCTTTCTCTATATAAAATGACCAAACAAATCTCTAGAGATGACGTTCTTGGAGTATTAGGGGATGCTGAGGAGGGGCGGAGGGTGTTGATGATAGTTTTGTTTCGTGGTCGTTAGTTAGCAAACGATTTGTATGTCTCCTGTTTTATTAGCCTACGTCTCTACACGAAGTTCATAAAATGAACGCATAATAATTAAGTCCGTCTGCACGCATACTCAATCTCCGAGCATACTCTGAAACTTCAACATTAGTCAGAATCCCTATTACTATCATCATTATCATCATGTTATCCCTACCATCATCGTCATGACTATCATCACGTTGCAGGATGTCTTGTCCACAGAAATTAAATTAAATGCAATATTATAGGATCCTCAAGATGCGCACTGTTCTCATCATGGTCGTCTTCTGCAGGTCTTCTCTGAGTATTTGCCGGTGATACATTCTAATGTTTCTGACATGAATGTCATAGGTTCCCAGTCGAACACGTGATTAATGGCGTCACTTCCACATTCCGCATGCGCTGTGTATCACTAAATAGATCTTCACATTTCAACACTTTTCGCCATTATTATTATTATTATTATTATTATTATTATTATTATTATTATTATTATTATTTTTATTGAGGCACGCGATAGCGTAGTTGGTTGAGGTACTATGATACAAGTTGGAAGGTCGTGGGGTCGAATCCCGATGCAATCACTGGATTTTTCAATTTACCTAATGCTTCCAGCTGCACTATGGTCCTGGGCTCAACTCAGCCTCTAACAAAAATGAGTACCAGGAATCTTCTTGGGGGTAAAGGGCGGCCGGTGTGTAAGGCTGAGAACCTCACCGCTATCTGTGAGCCGATTGTCTAGAAAATTTGGGAACCTCGACCTCTCACACCCTTATGGGCTTTCGCGCCTTGTTACATGGATACCTTTACTTTTTATTGTTGTAATTATTATTATTATTATTATTATTATTATTATTAGCAGTAGTAGTAGTGGTAGTAGTAGTATCATCATTCGGATAATTTGTTTTTAATAAATATTTTTATTGGCACAAAATGTTGCCCCTCTGCCCTCGAAACCGTCGGCGTTCATGTTCCTGCCCGCAACATACGTAACTGAACCTCGATCAGTTGACCCTCCAGCCACTGCCCTTCAGCTAATTGTGTTTCTGTTGCAAATGCAATTAGCAAATCTACAGATGTCTTTATAATCTCGGGTTTAAATACAAAGAACCTCAACTGATTGTTTTTCTTTGTTTTTGTTTGATCTGTCTTTGTGTTTTCATACTGCCCTTGTTGATTTTGTCGTTTATATTCTTGACGATTTTATAAATAGCCACCGGTTGTTGAGCGCAGCATGTAAATAAATAAAATAATTATTATTTACATTATGAAATTCTTTATACCCCACACGTGAGATACTAAAAGCTGATAAAATTTATTATTAATATTTGAATATCGCCAAGAGCCCCAATGAATCATTTTCACTGGTCATGAGTCTGCGCAACACTGACCTCTATATGTACGGCTTTAGTCATACAAACCAACAGGGCCCAAGGCAGACAATCTTTTGAACTTTCTTCGGTATGGTAAAATAAGTTTAAATTCAGAATGACACCCGTTTCGGCCAAAGAAAACAGAGGAGGAACATGGAAACATTCCATCTTTCTGATGTTTAATGGTTTGTAAACGGCGCATCGCGTCGCGTCGTGTTGGGTTGTTACGTCAATAGGAATAAACGACCTTCGGAAAACGAGACGCCAAGAGAACTATACCCAGCCAATATACAAAGGCTGAGCTCTTTCCATCCGCCATCTTGATTCCTGTACACCTAGTTAGGAACATGAAACAAATCATGACATTAATATTCAACAGGAAACGACTAACGTGAACTGTAATATAAATTGTATAGACTTTCCTATGTGTCTGAATTACATTTGTGTTATGAATCATATAGAAGAAGTGCTATAGTTATTCTATGACATTCTGATTCCAAAAGAAGTACAGATGGGCAGGAGGAGACTGGAAGCTGTAAGACATGTCACAAGGGCAAATGTGGTATTCCTCGTAACATAAAGGAATCTTCTCTTCTCATATTTCCCACAAGACTGAAACGTGCTTTACGAGATATGAGTCTCCCATAAAGGACTCAAGATTACGGTCTCCAGTGATCTAACGCCGTATAATTTGGTACATAAACATCTATTTATCAAACTATATGTCGTCACATTTTACAAGACGGTATGTCTGCTAGAGAACACGCGGTCTCTTGCCAGAAGACTGTAATTTTAAATTTGTTGTGGCGTATAGACGCTTTACTAAGTAGTGATTCTGTAAACAACGGCCGGTGCTAGGTAACGCTCACAACATACCCACATGTACAAAACAATAGAAGAGTTCTGTTTTCTGTTGGTCCGTGCCGAAGGGGTTATAGGCGAGACAAAGTTTATAAAGGCGACGATAAGGGAAGTCTAAAATCTGAGACAGTACAATATGGTTGCGACTCCCAAGGGACTTTGACCCCAGAAAAATTGCGCTGGGAAGGGTATATACTATATACAAAAGACAGACCCGTCCTTTCGTCAGAGAGGGCGCCCCACAAAAACAAGACCATAACTGCCAAACAGTAATAAATATCTGGTCATGAGCCCCAGATGGGACTCGACATCAAGATTTACTGACTGACTGGCTGATTGATCGTCAGTCGCAATGTGACTTTGACTTTAGTTTACTTCAGTTGTGAAATGGTGGTCAACCGCCAATGGCGTGAGCGCGGGAGCTGAAGAATCTCCATTGTTAGAAGCCGTTGCCAGAGAACGGATAGTTAAGACATAGAAAGCTGGTAAAGGCTTAGCGAGTGCTGTGGTAATTTGTGAACTGTGGAGATTAGAAATACTGGTGTAAGTGCTTATGATTCAGAGTGGTGTGTGTTAAGTGGTCAATAAATCCTTTCACCAATCCATGCTCCATCAATAGTCACATATCTAAGTCGTGGCAATACTGTCCCTGGGGATAAACGGCAGGGGCGTGGCCCTGAAAAGTCATCTCCATCTACAGCCGAAGTTAAGAATGGTAGAACAATGCCTACACTCAGCCATACGTTGCCATGACACGGTGCTTAATTATTTAAGTCAAGGGATAAATCTTGGGCATGCGGTAGCATAGTTGATTGAGGCACTATGCTACAAGCCGGAAGGTCGCGGGTTCAAATCCCGATGAGGTCATTGAATTTTTTTTTAAGTTTATCTAATCTTTCCAGCCGCAATATGGCCCTGGGGTCGATTTAGCCTTTAACAGAAATGGGTATCAGGAATATTCTTGGAATATTCTATATTCTTGAGGCTAAAAGGCGGCCGGAGAGTAAGGCTGACAACCTTGCCGCCACCTACGAGCCGATTGTCTAGAAAATGTCGGAAACTCCACATCTCAACCAAATGGGCCTCCGCGGCCTGTTACAGGGATACCTTTACTTTACTTTAAGGAATAAATTTACCTTTCACCTTCCATTACATCTATACACAAGAGGGCGTGCCGGGATGTTATCTGTTATTTTAACATTCCCACACCGTTGCACCTATTTCTATCAAATTTCCTATGACGATAGAGAAATTGCCTGGATCAGGAGGGGAAACCTAAAAAAATTTGGAAATCCCCCCTGAATATTTCTAAGTGTTGATACAGAACAATTGACCATAGCGTATTGAGGCTTGCTGCATTCAACTGAGCTTGGGAAGGGGGTGGGGGAAGGGTATACGTCCTCTATACGTCTGTTACAGTATTTACGACACGTATCTTTCAATTTTCCAAAAATAAAGGCATATTTTTAAAAATTCGCAAACAGGAGAGGAATTAATAGCCATGAAGTAGTCGATTTGCATAAAATTCTATTACTTTACATTAATACAGTTTAAAAAAACATATTTTTCAAAATCTATTACTCCGTGGCATGTAGTCCGCAAGCGAAACATACCGACCGAGCGACCGCCGCTTGTCGGCGAGGTTAGTGAGATCTTTAGTGGAGAGATGGTGTCGCGTGATCAGCGCAACGGATACCCAAGGCTATTAATCTAGGTTTTCTAGACCGGACAGGAGAGATCAGTAATAGTGATTAAGATTGTCCCTGTCTCGTGGGAGTATTGATGTGTCGCTTTTGTTCGCAGGTTAAAGTGTGGTTCCAGAACAGACGAACCAAACACAAACGGATGCAGCAAGAAGAGGAGGCCAAGGCTCAGCAAGCGGCTGCAGCCAGCAACAAGAACAGCCATCACGTCACGAAGTGGAAACAGGAGACTCAGGGACAAGGGACGGACGAGAACAGCCGGCAGCAGACGGCAGCTGCGCAGTACAACAGCAGCGGCAGGGACCACCACAATCACCATCAGGACGCTAGGGACGTGGACAGCTGCAGCTCGGGTTCCGAGACCTGAGTACCCAGACATGTCCTTGGATTCTTCACTCAGACAGCGAGAGAAGTTTCGGTGATTCACAGGCCGACAGTTGGTCAGGGATCTTTGCGAACCTACAATTGTTAGCAGGTCCTCTGTCCGGGGATGGAGTCAAATGTTACGAACTGTTTTTGTGAACGTTACAAAGACAGGGATCTCTGAAAATATTAGTCACGAATGTTTTCAGTGTCAGAGCAAGACACTGTGATACTTTAAAGTATAGACAAGTTTACGAAAAACAAAATATTGTACAAACCAACTGTGACGGAGATGTTTTAAGTCACAGTTTCTGATGACTGAATAATTTTGTTCTGAGGCAGGCCAGACAAAATTATAAATGTTCTTTGTTTGAACTGTTTGTTATCAGTAAGGATTCTAAATATATGATGTCACTAATTTCAGTTTATAATATCATGGAAACATTCTACACAAAGTACCTAAGACTTATGCACAGGTGTTCCAAGGTTCGAAGTATTTACGGTGTTACAAGGAACCTTCTTCGGACATGAAGAGCAGGGCCTATAGGGTTATGAAGTTTTATCGCATAAGAGTATTAAACTTTCCCAACACGACATCAAATCAACTGGAAAGAATGCAGATATATCGGAGCCGCATATGAAAACTTTCATTATGTTTTGGAACCCAAAACGGACGTTGAGTGGATGGAATGGTGAGCATGCACACCATTTTACGCGGCAGACATTCTTTAAATTTAATCCTTTCATGAGGAAGGGGATGACTGATACTTTTCAAGAGCTCATGCGTCTTACAAGCCATAATTTCGTCTCGCCTGTTCTAGGATATTAAAAATATAGTCTATTCAGGAAAATACTTCACAGGTCTCTTTAGGGTTTTATATGGAGTTAAGAATAGGCATATTAAAACACTTCATTCATCTGTAATCTGGCAAGACGACAGGTCCACAGTCTCTTCCAAAACGGTTCCTCCATTTGATGAGATCTAGAGCTTTCTCCTTCAAATGAAAATATCCTCTTCTGTCCCCAAGGTCATCCAGCATCTTCTTACGTCTTCTTCGTCTTCTGGTCACTTCTATCCGCCCCTCTATCTTTCCTTCAATAACTTCTTTTAGAAGGCAGTTACGGCGTAAGATATGACCAATCCAATTAGCATTCCGTTTTCTTATTTCGTGTAAAAACATTTATGCAAGATTGATTATTTGGTTTAAGAATACTGAATGAAATAAGGACAATCAGCAATGATACTAAGAAGTTTTTTTAATTCGCTTAGTGGGGGGGTGGAGTCCAACTGGGTCCACTCGTCACTGACTGCCCTACTGTACCCTGCCCCGGGTGATTATGATGACGGTGAATTTGGGGGAAAGAAGATTGGCATGGGAAACCTAAGTACTCACAGAAAACATGTCCCAGCGACACTTTGTCCACCACAAATTTCACTTAACCAGACCCGGGATCAAACCCGGGACGCCGCGATGGGAAGCCAGCCACTAACAGCTTGAACTATGGCGTGGCCCAAACTAAGAAGTTTGTTCAGAAGAAAATCAAATTGACAGTTAGGCTCATAACATTTAGAAATACAGAATTCAAACAAATTGAATTTTAGAAAATTCTAGAGAAAGACAATTTCGTATAGAATTTTTGCATATCATATAATTTGCTTTATATTCTGAATAAGACAATTTGTATTTAAAACATCATATAAATATCTTATAACATTTAAAATGAACAATTAAAACTGCAATTTATGTCAAAGACTCAGGACATACGTTACATTATTTTACTTTCAGTAGGAAAGTGAACGGACAATATACATTCCATAGCATTTTCGATTTGGTTGCATGACAATATCCAAAAATTAAATAAATGTTTGTCTATGATGTTTTATTTGTGGTTGAAATATAAAATCTTATTCAAAATTTAACACTCTCCAGTTACGACACGCTGAAAATATAAAGCAGTTGTAAACTTGTGTAGTTGCGGTAACACGAATGAACAGCTAAATCCCAGAAGAATGATGCAGGAATCACATATTGGTAGCTAACTCTCTTCATGGAGCTGAAATGTTGTTGAGAAGAAAACAGTTACTGAAGTATTTAAGAAAATCCCATTGTTTTAAGGAAACCGAAGGCTCATTACCATGTTCACTAAAACCCTCCAGTGGTCCCTACATAATCCAGATAAATCGCATCCACACCCTCCCTCATATTTATGTAAGATCCATTTTAATATTATCCTCTAATTTATGCATAGGTTGTCATAGTGATTCCTTTTATTCAAGTTTATGTATCATGATCATTTATGCATTTCTCTTATTCGACCTGCGTCTTACATGTCTTTCTCAACTCATACTCCTAAATTTAACAATTATAATCATATTTGTTGAGATTTAAATATTATGAAGCTATTCATTATGTAAATGTTTCCATCCTGCCGTTATAACATTCTTCTTAAGTCCAAATATTCTCAGTGCCCCTTTCTAAAACACCCCCAGTCTATGTTCTTCCAGTAATGTGAGAAATCAAATTTCACACCCGTACGAAAAATACTGACAGAAATTAAGCGAATCATCTTTATAGCAAAGAGACGAATTATTGATGAGCTGAAAGTGAAAAAGCTCCGGAAATGAAGGTTATCAAGTAAAACGTGGATCTTTTTTTAAACCCTGCGAGAAACGTGTATTTATAGATAAAGTATATGTCGTGAATTCATTGTAACGACAATAACATCAGATGAAGTGCGCGTGACAGAACGTCATCTACACTTACGTAGCTCGGATGTGCGATTTGCACATTGCATTCGAATCAAACTATGACGCAAATGAAGTACTGGATCATACCACAAATATAATCGAAAATCGTGCCAAAAAGCCTGTAGTACATAAAGAAATACATAGTTTATATTCTTGCCGTGACTTCTTCTACGAGACTTACTGAATAATCTTGCCTGAGCAAATATGTAATTTACCGTATATAACAAAGGCTTGAGCATGATATGGTTTTTTAAACGTTTCATTTGCAAATATTCAACCTGAATGGAATTACAGCCTCAAGAAAGCACTTCCATTTACTTGTCCATAACGTAGTTCTTATTTACATTAACACTGAGAAGACTTTTCTCAATTGTTTACGTTCATATATGAAACAGGAACTATTAAGCTGCGCTGTATCTTTATCATTTATAACTCAAAAGGCAATGAAATTTATGTGTAGCAATTCATTCCTTTTAGTACCAACATTCCCGTAATAAACAGCGACAACATTCAGCCATTACTTCAAACAGCGTGAGGCGGAAATTCGTGGCATGACATAAACTAATTTCTGCCAGCATAAATAATCTTTCAAGCGAAATAAATTAACAGAATTAAGAGCTGTAATCCAAGACCCGGCCTGCAAAATTGGACCGTCCGGCCCCATCATTGCGTCACGAAATCTGAATACATAAATTTTAAATTTAAGCGGTAAAAATACAGGTAAAACTATCCCTGTAACAGGCCGTGGAGGTTCACAGTATTGTATTACGTTGAGGCTCCCATATTTTCTAGACAATCGGTTCACAGATGACGGTAAGGTTATCAGCCTTACGCACCGGTCGCCCTTTACTCCAAGAAAGATTCCTGGTACTCATTTCTGTTAGAAGTTGAGTCGACTCCCCGGGCCATATTGAGATGGAAGGATTAGATAAACCGAGAAAAAAATTCAATGACCTCGGGAATCGAACCCGCGTCCTCCCGGCTTCTAGCATTATGAAAATGTAAGCAGTAGAATCAATATTATAATTTTTCTGTAATTGAATTACTCTCGTTATTTTTGAATTAGTCTTTTACTGCTTTCTGGGATGTGATGGGATCTCGATGGTTGCCAGCGTTTCGGAGAAGTATACTACGTCCAGCTTCAGGGTCTAAGAGTAGGCCGAGGAATTCGAGAAACAAACAACAAGCCGAATCATCTTTCTTTTTGTTCAGTTGATATACATTTTTACCCTGAAAACGGAGACAGTGTATTCCGCCGAAACTTCGCTATACGTCTGACAGATTATATCACGTGACATTACAGCAGACAATACGAGGTATTCTTCATGTTCATCATCATGAGGCCCCCAAACCGGAATTTAATTTAATTTAAAAATTTCTGAACCGAGTCCTGTGTTATAAATTTCTCTTGACTCCATAGTCCAACACTGAATCACTACTATGCGGTCTGAGATTGGCTCCGCCTGAAATAACTGTCAGTAAACCTCTTAGAAACGAAGTCAAATCTGGTGTGAATATTTCTAGTGTAATATCTGTCTTAATAGTGCATGTCTGAACCAAAATTTTGTTCAACGTACACATATAATACAAAAACTTGTCCCAGTGACATTTTTATTTCCAGTTAAATTTATGAATGTTTTGCGATTTTTTTAAAAAAACAAATATGTATGTATGATATTGTGATGTGATAATTGTAAATAAGGTTATACAGTTTCAAATCACCTTCGAGCTATCTTTGTACCGTTAAAAAATATTATATGTCTTGTATAAGACGTGTCCTTGAAGCGAACTTGAGAGTTTTGAGTCGGCCGACCGACGGGATAGAGCCAGAAATTTCTGCTCACGAACATACCTCCTCGAGTTTCGATGTTCAAACGTTGACACAAATGCACGGGGAATATTTATTTAACATAAATCTTACTAGTCTTCCTTCAAATCTTAAAAATTAAAACAGCAGAACACCAGTAATGATAACGATATTTTCTCTTGTTTCAAAAGTCTCAATTCTCGATAATTTCAACGAACACGAAAAAAATAATACAAATTTTTAAGGGCTAAGGAAATGTACAACAATAGATGCCTAATTTATAAATTATTTTCTCTATTATCCATCGCAGTTTCAATCTGTTTTCAAATTTAAATTTGTTTTAAACGTTGCAATTTACAGAACAGCCATATTTTAATATCACTGCAATACGCTTAAAAGTCACAAATTGGAGCTTATTATTTTTCACTTATAATAATTCAATTATAATACTTAATATTCAGTGAATTCGGAGTTTCGATTGAGTTACTGCTATGTGGTTTGATGAACAAACAATGACTTTCTTCAATGTAGCTTTAGGTGGTAATTGTCACAAAGATGTCTTGAAGAGTTGATATTGTATGTAATGTTTGAAATAGTAAACCCAATATTATATTAATAATAACAATTTTATGTAAATATGTACACAAACACATGCAAAATTTTCAGAAATATTTCATGTGTCAAATTGTGTAAATACAAAATGTCGAATCCTGCAAAACAGACGTAGTAAAAACACAATGACAATGATCACAACGTTCTTATTATAAACATCAAACTAAGTACCAAGAATTTTACTTAAAATAAAATGCTTATTTATTATACGTGTATTGTATTAATTAAAAACGTTCAAGGAAAAAAGAAG